ACCGTCGTAAACATCTAAAGCGGAAAATTCGGGAAATTGATCCTCATGAAAGCCTTCATTGCTTCAAGGCTCTCTTTCGTTGCGGCGTTCTCAAGCTTTAATTCTTCAACTTCCTCGTCTTTCTTCTCAAGTGCTTCTTTGAGACTTTCAACTTCTTCATAGAGTACGGGATTGCTCGGCGAAGAAGAACTAGACCCNAACCTAGAAACTAGGTTGCCTAATCCAGGACGACGACCCTTGAGCAAAGGCGTTTCCTATGAAAAATGAGATGCAACAATATGAAAAATTATGGAAAAAAACAAAGTCGACATATAATTAAAACATAACAATACCTCGATGACCATATTGTTGATTTNGTCTCGGGACAACTCGCACTGGTTTGACGAAGAAGAACCATCCAAACCTTGAGAGAGAGACATTTGCGTAAGCCGCTCTTCCTTTCTCTTCTCCACCTTCTCGACGATTTCAGCAATGTTCGGATAATCGATCTTCCCGGTTACTTTGTTGGTGTGTGTACGTTTAATCAAAAGTTTGCAAAAAATAATTTGCAATGGCCGAGATGTTTCCAAATTGGCCGAGAGGTGTACAAAAAACAGTTTGCAATTTATGTAACTTGTTCATTTAAAAAAATAAAACACTAAACAAACAATTCACAATTTCTCCACATCAAATGCAAACATCAAAATCCCTAAAAATCGAGTATAAACACATCTAATTCAAACATCAAATTCTCTAAAAACATTTACAAATAACTTGTTCAAACATTCCCTACCTAAAAAACCCTAAAAACAGCAATCTAACAACAATTTCATAAACTCTAACAACAATTTCATAAACNGTTTNTAAAATCTAATCGAANGTGGCGGTGGAAACAATAAAATCTAACAACAATTTGGAGATTCTCTAACACATACATGATTTGCCGGTGGAGATGATGAAGAACCGACGCGGTGGAGTTGAAGAAGAACCGGTGCGGTGGCGTTTGGTGAGAGAACGGGCCGAGTGGTGGAGATGGTGAGAGAAAAAGAAGCTACGGCGGTGGAGGAGAAAGCCCGACGGCGGTGGAGAAATCGATGTCCGAAAGCCCGGCGGTGGAGAAATCGATGTCCGAAAGCCCGGCGGTGGAGAAATCGATGTCTTTCGCCCAGAGAAGACAATGTTTAGCGGCGAAGAGAAAGAGGAGAGAAAGAGATCTGTGTACGATTTTTTATTCCAGATTTCCGACGGATTTAACGGTCGAAAATCCGTCGAA